ACTATCCTGGCTAACACAGTGAAACCTCATCTTTACTAAAAATACAAAAAATTAGCCAGGTATGGTGGTGGGCGCCTGTAGTCCCAGCTACTTGGGAGGCTGAGGCAGGAGAATGGTGTGGACCTGGGAGGCGGAGGTTGCAGTGAGCTGAGATCATGCCACTGCACTCCAGCCTGGGCGACAGAGCAACACTCTGTCAAAACAAAAGAAAAAAAAAAAGCCTTCATCCTAGTAAACTAGATAAAGTTTTCTGGTTAATAAAAGATGAAAGTTGTCCACTGTACTTATCCAAAAATGTAAAGGCACATGGGCCTTAGTGAGCTAAATGTCTTCAAATCTTTGTAGGTATATTTATTTCTTTATTGCTGTTCAATTACTATTAAAATCCTGACCATTAAGTCTCATACTTGATCCTATTTCCAGCAAATATTGTCAGACTATTGATATTTTCACGTCTCAGTTTAACAGAAGGAAGCAGTGTCAACTGTGTCTTTTGGGACATACAGACCAGAAATGCAGCTCACATGTAAGGCATATGTAGAAAATACAAAAAAAAAAATATATATATATATATATATATATCTCTAAAATCCTTACAAATACAGTTTTCTTTCAAAAAAATTCACTTGGAAAAAGTCTACATTTCCTTTGGTTTACAGCCTATTACATATTTGGATGATCTAATTGAGTTACCAGCCCTTTGGTGAAGAAGAATGGGCAGAGGAACTTGGTTGGCAACTGTGCCATGTCTAGTCTGGGATTTCAACTGCAGTTGAAATGATGAGCATCTTAGATCTTACTTGTTAAAAAAAATCATAAACATATTTCCATGTAAAAATCCCCAATACCTTGTCCCTTAAATTCCTTAAATAGGAATATGTGAGGCACATTCTATAAAGGCAGGGTTAATTCAATTCCACAAGTTTAGAGGAATAACTCAAGTGCAAACTATCTTCCTTCCTATCAGGGAGTCCTTTCAATACTGGTCATGTACAGCTACTATCTGCAGAGGCCACCATTGTATTGAGAACACAAGCAATACCGTGGCTCCCACCTGCAGGGGAAATAGCACTCCCACCCAAGTGAGATCCACCTCATCCTGCTTGTAGCAGCTCCAAGTTCTCACTTTCTTCAGCAGATTTCAATTTGCAATTTTTAAGAGAATGGGTTGCCTATCACTTAACACTGTCACTGGGAGATAACATTTCAGTAATTACTCAGTGCTGACATTTTATTATTTAATCTTAAAATCCCATCAGAAATCCCTAGCCTGATAAGCTACAAACGAAGTTTGAGAATAAAGCACCCAGCAAATCTGATTTGCAGTAATCAAAATGGCATTTTGTCGCATGGGAATTAATTATCAACCTGACATGATTTTAGTCTGCTGCCATTCTACGAAATGAGACCCGTTTGCTCTCTGTAAAGATGATCAGCCTTGCTGCTCCAGAGCTGGATGCCCAGTTTCACCTACTCTCACGAGATTCTTCCATTATGCAAACTGGCAATGAAGCCATTACATGCTCCAAAAGATGAAGACGAGAAATTTCACATTCGCAGACTTGTCACGTTCACCTCTTAAAATGTAAGTTCTTGCCAGGTGTTAAGATGCCTTTTTTATTTTACACAGTCACTTAACAATCTGAAGAAACATCCCCCCTGAAGGCAGTTTCAGCCCCCAGGTTCAATGAGAGGGCCCTGTCAGGACTCCAAGGCTCCACCTTGAGACTGCTGAACAAATGAAGGAATCATGTTCATTCCACGAACAGAATGCCCACGTCTTCAGGCTTTTCAGGGTTATTCAGGGGCTACTGCTGGACCACAGGCAATTACCAAGTCAAACGCTCCAAGTGGGCATGAATGTTTTAGCAGAGAACAGACGGAAGGAAAGTGGAACTTAAACAGGAGCGATTTCACCCCTGCATAGCTCGAGAATGCTGCTGGAATCTCCACGGAGGGAAAGAAAGAAGAGCTTTCACCAGGCCGTGCCAGGAAATGGGCTGCCTGCCTCTCATTTCATACTCTTACATGTAACTTTCCTCTCTTTTCTAATAGAGAGGAAAACTGAGTCCCAGAGATGCCTGTAAATCTCCTGCAGTTTTGGTCAGTAAGTGAGGATGTTAGAGAGGTTCTTTCTACCACTCTTGGCCACCTGCCCCAGTGTGGAAAGAGAAACACCAGGCAGAATATTTTCTATTTGGTTGCCTCACACATGTTGAAAAACTCTAGTTGGTATTATTGAAAAACACTATGTATCTCTAACTCCCTTCAATTTTAAGTTTTAGAAATCAACTAACTATAAGAAAAAGTTTGGGCCAGGCACAGTGACTCAGGCCTGTAATCCCAGCACTTTCGGAGGCTGAGGCAGGCAGATCACCTGAGGTCAGGAGTTCAAGACCAGCCTGGACAACATGGTGAAAACATACAAAAATTAGCAGGGTGTGGTGGTGGGAGCCTGTAATCTCAGCTACATGGGAGGCTAAGGCAGGAGAATCACTTGAACCCGGGAGGCGGAAGTTGAAGCCTGGGCAACAAGAGCGAAACTCCACCTCAAAACCAATTTTTAAAAAGAAAAAGTTTGATACAATTAAGAAGAGACGTCAGAGGAGAAAGGGAGGAGAATATAAAGTTGTTTTCTGGTCTTACAATATTTGATTCTTCTTTGTGGGGCTCCAAGGAGAGAACAGAACTCTCAGGAGACAGGTAATAAAGTGTTAAGGAAGTTTTTGTTCAGAATGCTGCTGAGGGGAATTCTCACATGTGTTACGACATCCAGAGCAGAGCTGGGAACAGCGTGTTTGTGAGTCAGTGCGTGAGTAAGCCTCTGTTCTTCCAGCACAATTGCAGCTTGTTTAGTTTGCAAACACAAGTTGTCTCAGTGATCCACATTCCCAATAGGTAAGGGCCAGCGCCACACTGCCTCCTCTCACAGCCCGCCCAGCTCACAGCACGGGAGCCCGAATCCACATGGAAGAAAACTGGACCTTCCGAGGGGCAGCTATTCCTATCTCCACCCTTGCTCTGAAGGACAGCATGGGGGTCAACCAAGAAAAATATCCTCATGTCAAATGTAGAGGAGAAACTGCTTCATTTCAAAGTTTATGAGATCCAAAAATGTTACTGTGATAGTTCATTTCGGGTGTCAACTTGGCTAGGCCACGGTTCTTAGATACTTGCTCAAACACTAATCTAGATGATGCTATGAAGGTATGTTTTAGATGAGATTAACGTTTAACTCAGCAGACTTTGAATGAAGCAATGACTCTCCAGAATGTGGGTGGGCTGCATCCCATCAGTTGAGGGCCTTAAGGACAAAGACTGAGGTTTCCCAAAGAAGAAATAATTCAGCTCAAAACACAACACAGAAACCTCGCCTAAGTTTCCAGCCTGCCAGCTTCCCTACAGATTTTGGACTTGCGAGTCCACACAATTGCATGAGCCAGTTGCTTAAAATAAATCTCTCTCTCTTCTCTCTCTCTGTCTCCTGTTTCTCAGGAGAATCCCAACTACTAACACTGTTACAAAGCAGATTAAGCAGCCCTATTCCCTCTGAATTTCAGAGCAGACAGGAAAGAGGCACTTGGCAAAATATCAATTGCTTAGAAAATCGGGGAATTAAGAGTCTATGTGAAAAAAGGCTTTTCAACACCATTCAAGTGCCAAGTTGCATTTCTCAGTAGTAACTTTTTAAGTTATTCGTGAGTATGAGACGTGCCCTTTGGAAGTTCTGGGCCAGGCACTGGAGCAGCGAAACCAGGGACACCTGCATTGGAATGTGGGCTCAGCCCCCGTCCTGGGTGTGTGGCCGCAGGCATGTGACTGAACCTCTAGAGGCCTTTCAAACCTTGGTGTAAATGTGACACTAAAAAGACCAGAGATGTGAAGCACCCTGCTCAGAATCTAGAAAGATCAGTGCTCACTAAATAGTGGCTTAGTGTGATTGCTGCTGATACAAAAGCTGTTAATAAAACATACTTCCTCCCAGCCCTAAGGAGGAGAGAGACACATACAAGGATAATTAATGTCCTGTTTCCAAGACCACAAAGGTGATATTGTAGGTGACTGTTGGATCTTAGAGGAAGGGAAACTGAGTCAGCTCCAGAAGTAGAAGCTTGTACAGCGAGGTGGGGTAATGGGGAGCAGGCATTCCAGTCAGAGGCCATTGCACCAGCAAAGCCAGGGTCAAGCAAAACAGATACTGGCCAGCCATACTGACTGGCCAGGGAGATATGTGGGGACTCATTGTGCTGGGAAGCTTTCTAAAGAGCCAGCTCGTGTAAGGATGGAGACATGCATAGAATAGAAACAAGAGGAAAGGGCTGCCCCGTGCATTCCTTTCTGAACACTCGTGGGTTGTGCACACACAAATTTTTGACTAGAAATCACTCACTTCTAGGTATCAAAACCTCCGTAATTAAAAATCTGTAATGCAAATGCAGAAGGCATTTGGAAATTAAATGGTGAAGTTTTTAAATTCTTACACAGGGAGCCAGTGGTGTAACATAATGTGCATCGAGTAACAATTTTAATAGATGACACAATTCTGAATGTATTGCGCTGTGCTTTTCATGCCCATTAAAATGAAAGAACATATTCTGTTAAGCACACAATAGTACAAGATACACAATACAGTAAAAGCTTTGCAAAGACTTACAGTAAATTGTTAAAAATGCTTAGCCTGTGATGAGATTAAGCCTGTTTTCAATCTTCTTTATTTTACTTGTTTTTTCCTCAATGAATGTGAATTGATTATGAAAAGAGGAAAGGGTATTTTTTTTAACTCTGCCAAGAGTAAATCTAAAAAAGAAAGTGTGTCATAAATGAGTGGTATTCACTTTTATTTACAAGTATACCATTAAGTATACTTATTTACAAGTATACCAGTAAGTATACCACTTTTATTTACAAGTATACCAAGATGCAAAAGAAAAAGTAATGGTCTTTTGAGATTGGTTTGAGATTGAGAAAAGGAAGATTTGCTGTCTAGGGGCAGTACCCACCTGGATCACAGAGGCACTTGTAGCTGGTGCCCACGCTGCGGCACGTGCCATGAGCGCAGGGGCTTAGGGCACAGAAGTCAATAAGCTGGGCACAGGTCGGCCCTGTGAAGCCCGAGCTGCAGCTGCAGGTAAAGTGTACCCCGTCCACATAGCAGGTACCATTGTTCTGGCAAGGAGACGAGGCGCACGGGTCCACCTTTTCTTCACAAGCAGATCCAAAGTATCCTGTTAGAAAACACAGGGGAGCTTAAAACAATTAAAACACTTTTGCACATAATAACTAATCAACTGAGTCTGCTCTACTGTATATTCATAACCAATTCATTCATTCACAGCTCCCAGATATGCCACAACCCAACAAGATAGATAGGTTGTTTTTCTCACCTTTAGTAATATAGGCTTAAAAATATTAAGCCCCACAATTCCATATTTATTGAAATATATGGTAAATGACTGTTTAGGAGTACATACATATGTGTACATGAATATATTTATGTGCACACATGTGTATATGTACATGTGTGTATACTCTAGAACGATACCAAAAATCAATTAATGATAATTTCCTAAAGGAATATGGGATTTGGATCAGCAGAGGGCTCTCCCCTCTTATTTTGTATACATTAACAGGGAACACATTTCTCATTTTACTTTAATAGACACAACATAATCCTGAATCTTAAAAAGTAAAACCATATAAACTAGTAAACAATGAAAAAGTCTCGTTTTCATCCCTGTCCCTTCGTCTCGCATTCCCTTCTCTACAAGCAGCCACTGTTAACAGTTTCTTGAATATATGCTTTTTTAAAAGTTGATTGTTGTAACAGAGAAACAGAAGTGATCGACCCATACAATGAAATACCACTCAGCAATTTTAAAAAAACTGATTGTATGGTACATTTTTAGTAGGATTTCTAAGATTTGAAAGCTACCAGGAATTTTATAAAATGCTGAATAGCACTGGATTTTTTCAGAAGATAATTTTATATTTTATATTTTATATTTCTATACTGCATAGAGAAATACCAAGTTGATTATGCCAATTTATGTGTAGTGCTTCACATAATTAAATCTGGGAGTACTGACACATGGTATGACATTAATGAATGTCAAAAGCATTATGCTAAGTAAAAGAAGCTAGGCATGAAATACTACATGTTATATAATTCCATTTGTAAGAAATGTGCAGGAAAAGCAAATCTGTAGATATAGAAAGTAGATAAATGGTTGCCTTGGCTGGGCCAGAAAGAGGGGTTCACTGCAAATGGGCATGAGGAGTCCACTGGGGCAGATGGAAACGTTTAAAACTTGGATTGTGGTAATGGCTGCACAACTCTGTAAATTTACTAATATGCTTTCAACTGTGCATTTCAAATGAATGAATTTTACAATGTATAAATTGTACACTTAAATAAAATTTTATGTCATATAAAGTTATGTAAGGCTGTTAACTCTTTCTTTTAAATATGGTCACTGTGTAGGTGATTTTCATCTTGTTTCCTGTGTATATGATTCAGTATTTCTTGTTAAAAAATTATACATGTGGATATGTGTGGGTCTCTACATCTGTGCATACATGTAGGTATATATATTTAACAATGCTTTGCATAAAAACTATACTTCTTTCAATACTTTAAGAGCAGTTTGGAAATTAAAGATTTTTCAAATTTTAGAAATAAAAGTTAAATAATTTTACTCACATATAGTTTGTATTCTAATAGTCTATTACACTTCTCTTGTTTACATTGAAGTTTATATTTACTCATCTTCTTATAGAACTCCCAGCAATACTGACAATTTTTGTTGTTGTTAAGGACACATTTAATATGTAAACAAACCAAAATAACACCCAGCTTTAATTATGTGAAGCACTACTCATAAATTGGCATAATCAACTTGGCATTTCTCTGTACAGTATAGAAATATAAAATGTAAAATATAAAATTATCTTCTGAAAAAATCCAGTGCTATTCAGCATTTTATAAAATTCCTGGTAGCTTTTAAATCTTAGAAATCCTACTAAAAATGCACCATACAATCAGTGTTTTAATAACACCTGAATTCTCCAAAAAGTTCCCTGGCAGGCTCAAGTGGAATATAATTCTACCTGTCATGAGATACGTTCCATTTTACTCTGATTGAAAATAAGACACTGAACCATTTTTCAACATATGACAGTATTATATGTTACCATCACTGTTTAACATGATTTCAAAAATAGGATTTATAACTCGAATCTTTTCATTTTAGAAAATAAAATCATTTTATCTGTCTAGAAAATGCAGCATAGCTGCTTAAAATATTAAAAGGCCCATTTAATTTGCTCAAGCGTGACACTAAAAGTCATTCAATATTTTTTTTCTCAATATGAAGGAATAATTTTGAGAAATGAATTGACCAAGCCAATCCACAGCTTGCATTTAGTTAGATAGTGACCCAAGATTGCATCTTATGACTCGAGGAGAAAAAAAAAGTGGCGGGGGTGGGTGGTGGCCAGTGGGGAGCACTGCAGGTTCTAGGTTAACCTTGTGGATGCACTGACTTCTTTACAAGAAATTCAGGCTCATAATAAATTCCATACCCAAGGCTGGGTACCACTTTGCCAAAAACAGCAGCTCAAGGTGAATCAGGAAATTCTAAAAGTTAATGCTCAGAAATGGAAATCAAATTTTTTTATTTTTTTTATTTTTTTGAGACAGAGTCTCACTTTGTCACCCAGGCTAGAGTGCAATGGTGCAATCTCGGCTCACTGCGACCTCTGCCTTCCTGGTCAAGCGATTCTCCTGCCTCAGCCTCCTGAGTAGCTGTGACTACAAGAGCGCACCACCACGCCCGGCTACTTTTTGTATTTTCAGTTGAGATGGGGTTTTACCATGTTGGTCAGGCTGGCCTCAAACTCCTGACCTCGTGATCCGCCCGCCTCAGCCTCCCAAAGTGCTGGGATTACAGGCGTGAGCAACTGTGCCTGGCCACAGAAATCAAATTTAAAAGGACATTTTGATTATTTTTGTTCCTCCAGAGGAAATGAACTAATGATGACAGAAAGTGACAGTTGAGAACTGTCAACTCTGTCAACTCTTTTAGCTGAGAACACAGAGAAGAGAAATGATCATAGGAACTGTGTCCTTGAAAACCCTGTGAGATTAGATGGGTGAGAACTTAGTGGAAAGAGTATCTAGGGAGGGTCAAAGGTAAGAAAAATCAGGAACAAGAAGCTTATACCTAAGTTAGGAGCATAAAAATGAAAATTACTTAGAACTATTAGAACCCAGTAGAAGAGTTAACATTAAATATAGTTCTCAGTGGAGGCTGATAATTAAGCATTGGATTATCAGTGTCATGGGTTAAACTGTGTCCCTCAAAAATTCATAATTTTTAAAATTAGCTTTCTCTGGTTGAGTAAAATTCATATTTTGAAGCCCTAACTCTCAATACCTCAGAATGTAGCTCTTCAGAGATAGTGCCTTTAAAGAAGTGGGTCGGTTAAACTGAGGTTGTTAGGTTGGGCCCTAATGCAATCTGACTGGTGTCTTTATAAGCAGAGATCAAGACACAGAAAAAGACACCAGGAATGCCTGTGCACAAAGGGAAAGACCTTGTGAGGAAGAAGCAAGAAGGTGACCCTCTGCAGGGCAAGGAGAGAGGCCTCAGAAAAAAATCCACCCTGCCAGCACCTTGATCCTGAACTTCCAGCCTCCAGAACTAGAAGTAGATGAACTGCTTATCAGCCTCCAAAGCTAGAAAGAGATGTCTGTTGTTTAAGCCTATAGTCCTTGGTCACAGCAGCCTGAGAAGACTTATACAAACAGGGAGCATAAGGAGAAAGGGAAGCGATGATTAGGATCTTGTGTGTGATTCTGTGTTCACCAGCCCACCCAGCAATCTGAGTGGCCATGGCAAGGACCCCTTTCTCCCATCATCCACTGCCTATACCTGGAAAACAGGGCTGAAACTATTTTCTTCACAAAGTCATTGTGGATTCTAAAAAATATATATATCAAACTTCCTAGTACAGTTCCAGTCCAAGGCTCGATGAATGAATGAATTAAAAATGCTAATAATAACAGCAACGGGCCAGGCACGATGGCTCATGCCTATAATCCCAGCACTTTGGGAGACTGTGGCAGGTGGATCACGAGGTCAGGAGTCCAAGAACAGCCTGATCAACATGATGAAATCCAGTCTCTACTAAAAATACAAAAATTAGCCAGGTGTGGTGGCGCATGCCTGTAATCCTAGCTACTGGAGAGGCTGAGGCAGGAGAATTGCTTGAAGCCATGAGGCGGAGGATGCAGCGAGCCGAGATAGCGCCACTGCACGACAGGCTGGGTGACAGAACAAGATTCTGTCTCAAAAAATAAAAAAAAAAAACAGCAACAGCTAACAGCCACTGGAGGCTGATTTGCATCACCTGGTTCTAACCTTTTAGGTGAATTATTTCATTTAACCCTACTATTATAGTAGGATGTAAGAACTATAATAGCCCTGTCTTACAAATGAGAAAACAGTGATGTGAGAATGTGAAGTAGCCTTTTCAAGTCTAAATAGCTAGCATATGGCAGAGCTGGGACGACAAGGCCAAGTGCTTACACGTCTCCTACACTGCACAGAAGACAAGTGAATGACAAACCAATTAAGATGTTAAGATGCATAAGCAAAACCAGGACTTATGTTTCTATCCTGTTTGTGTCTTGGTGAAAGAATAGAAGCTTACTGATCAAGTCAAAATAAAGGAAAAAGTGAATTTTAGAAAGGCTATCACTCCAGCTTTATGTCAATATACTCAGATATAAATAGTAATATAAGCCACACAGAATA